TTTGGGAGGCACGTGGCTCCTGTCCCAAATGGGAGATGGGTGGGAGACGCATTTTTACCGCCCGGAGATTTCACCGGAGGTGGTGTTGTGCCTTGCAGATATTAGCTGGAATATTGGCAGCACCATTCACTTCCTGCTGAAGGAAACCGTGTCTTCTGCTATGGCTGCCCTCAAGGACAGGGTGCAAGGTAAGAAAAAAAAAATCTTTCCTTTCCCTTCGTTTCTTTTCCTTAATGCTACGCAGTCTTGTAATAGGTAGAAGAAATAATCTTGAGGAACAAGAGGGACAGTGAAGGCCGTGGTAGATAAGAGCAATCTGACTCTTGAGTAGAAACGTAATTTAATCTTTCTCACCAATAAGTGAGATAATTACAGTATATTAATAACAAGGAATAAAAGTTGGAATTCATCTCCCTGATTTCTGGTCTTGTCTCCCTTGGAGGACTGATAGCAACTTAGCTCAACCCAATGCTTCTTACGAGGATGGCAGGAACGGCTCCTTAGTGTGCCTTGGCTGGCTAGGAACTCTGGGAGTTGTAGTTCGACGCACCTGCTGAGCATCGGACCAGGGAAAGTGGGTTTAGTTTGGCTACGCCAGGATTCACTCAAGGCAACTCTTCCAAGCCACCCTCTTGGATAGGGACAACCCCTCTCCCAATTTGCCTGGTTAACAGTGGGAACATTTTCCGGGAGAGAGAATGAAAAGGGCCGGAGCCACTTAACCGCGGGATATTTTCAGAGAAGACAATTAAAAGTCTGGAGCCGCTTCTAATGGGAAAATACGGCAGCATCTTCTTGGAGTGAAGGTGGATGAAAGGAAACAGTGTACGGATAGGTAGAATAGGGACCGGGAGCACTTTCTCTTTCTGTCTCTTTCACAACTTGGGGCCACTCATTAAAACTCCAAAGAGAGATACCAGACAGATAAATGAAAGGGCAACTCGGAGTTAAAGTAGGGAGTTTGCTGCCATCAGCTGTGAGGATAGCCTGAGGGTGGCCTTGGCAGGAGCTTATTAGCATGGATCAGGGCTGCACGTTCAAAGGATCAAAGGGTTGTACAAGAAGCGCCAGCTGTTAGGAAGTCAGCTTGTTATGCCTTTCACCTGCTATCCCGTGCTTGTCAGGTCTTTTTAAGGCATGCTCTTGTACCCCCTGGGCTGGAGTGGGTGTAATATATACATGTATAGTAATATATACACGTATAATATATACGTGTGTGTCAAAGTGGCAGCTGTAGCCGTGGCATTAAAGCTCTTTTTAAAACCCTTTTGAGTTCTTTTGACACGGAAACCACGAGTAGGTGCCACTGTTTCGGCATGAAATTTGTAAGCTTCGCTGTAGAAACGGCCACCCTTGCAGCTCACGGTAGCCAATTCCAAGCGGAGCTCTTAGAAGGAAAAAAATGAATGCAACTATATTCCTCGGTTTGCAACCATTGATTTGCTGACTGCTCAAAAGTTAACAACTGCACTGGAAAAAAAAGGGGGACTTGTGACCTAGCAGCATCTCCACAGTTACGGGATTAAATTTCAGGCGCTTGGCCGCTGACTCATACTTACAACGGTTACAGTGTCCCGGGTCTTGCGGTCCCCTTTGGCGACTTTCCCACCGGCAAAGTCCTTGGGGAAGCCAGATTCACTCAGCGAATGAATGCAGGGATTCACTTAACAACCGTGGCAAGAAAGGTTGTAAAACGGAGGAAAAAATTCACTTAATGAATGTGTCAACTCACAAACTATTTCTGTGGTCTTTTTAGAGTTGCCAACGGAAAGGGAGGGGGGAACAGCGGGCAGCTTGCAGTCCGTAAATGTTTCCAAAGATAGTTTCTAGGTGACCGAAGTTTCTGCCACGCAAAATTCTAACTGGAAAACATGATTGATGACTCTGGGCTATGGATGTGTCTCGTTGGAGAATATGATTTATGATACACTCAGGGAGTGGGGGGAAAACCAGGGTCAAGGGTGACAATGAATGATGTGTCTTAGAGTCGGCTACACCCAGGCAATGCCGGACATGTTAATTCCCAATCAATCCTTTGGAAGTTTTGGAAGTTTGTCTCGAGACTCAGGATTTAATTGGGGGTAACTGCCGGAATCCTGACAGAATGTCTTTCTTAGCAGCAGAACTTTTGGCTCAGTTGTGGTCATAATTCAAGGACTACTAGATGGGATCAGGTCTATTGACTTTACGTGCGTAACTTGCTTCAGTTCATATTGACTCCTGATGCCACAGAATATTTTAGATCGGGGTCTCCAACCTTGGCAACCTGAACAAATTGGTGTCATCAGCAAAATAGAGGAAGGGCTGGAGAGGAGGGAGTTTAAAAAGTGAAGATGTCAGACACAACTACTATTCAAGTAGTTCTCGACTTACAAGAGTTCACTTACTGACTGTCCGAAGTTAGAACAGCACCGAAAACATTATTTATGACCATTTTTCACGCTTGTGACCACTGCAGCAAGCAAAGTCAACGGGGAAGCCAGATTCTATTATCAACCATGTTATGAATTTAACCACTGACACGATTCACTTAACGACTGCAGCAAGATAGGTTGTAAAACGGGGCAAAACCCCGCTTCACAACTGTCTCTTTTAGCAGCAGAACGTTTGGGCTCGGTTGTGGTTGTAAGTCACGGATTTACCTGTGGAGGTTAATTGGCTAGCATGGAATTTGTGATAGCTTGGCATGAAAACATCCGGACATCCCATCTCCTGGGTGACTTTTCTCTTTAAGACCTAGAGAACTCCGTGCGCCACTTGCATGCGATCCACGGGTCTGTCCAGGCCCTGATCTGGGAGCAGGAGGAGCTGGCATCGACGCTGAAGGAGCAGAGGCAAAGCCTTACTTCCCTCCTGGAAGAGCCCCATTGCACGTACTGCATGGGGGTCCTCAGCAGAGCTCAGGACTTGAAGTTGGGGGCTGACTTCCAAAATGTAAGCCAATCCGGATCCTGACGGCACCCAAACGAGAATGACGCATCCCAGTGGTGGGATTCAAATGTTTTTTTTTTACTCCTGGTTCTGTGGGTGTGGCTTAGTGGGTGTGGCTTGGTGGGCGTGGCAGGGGAAGGATACTGTAAAATCCCCCTTCCCTCCCCTCCCCACTGACCTGCTTTCCAGCTCCGTTCTCCTCTGCAGGGCAACCAAAGGAGACCCAGCCGATCAGCTGGGACTCAATGGGAGGCAGGGAATAGATGGAGGTGGGGCCAGTCAGAGGTGGGAGTGGCTGGTTCTCCAAACTACTCAACATTTCCACGACTGGTTCTCCAGAACTGGTCAGAACTTTCTGAATCCCACCTCTGGTGCATCCATCTCTTGGAAAAATGAACTGGTTAAGGGATATGCTTCTGAGACGAAATGGGCCTTGTTGTACTGTACAACAAGGTATCAATAGGTTGGCTTGAATCTTCAACCTTGGAGGTCTCCTGGTCCACCTCTCTGCTGAAACAGGAGACCCTAAACCATTTCAGACAACAAGTGACTGTCCAGTCTCTTCTTAAAAACCTCTAGTAAAGAAGCAACCATCATTTTTGAAGTTCCCCTGGTTAATTGCCTTCACTGTTGGGAAATTTGTCCTTAACTCCAGGTTGCTTCTATCCTTTTTTAGTTTCCCATCCGTTGTTTCTTGTCCTGTCCTCTGGAGCTTTGTAGAATAATTTGACCCCACCCCTCTTCTTTGGGGCAGCCCCTCAAATATTTAAAGTTCTGCTATCATGTCAACCCTAATTCTTCTTTCCTTTAGACTAGCCAAACCCAAACCCTGCGGCCGTTCTTCCTATGTTTTAGTCTCCAGATCTTTAATCATCTCAGTTGCTCTTCTCTGCACTTTTTCTAAAGTCTAAACACCTTTCTTGTAGTATGGTGGCCAAAACGGGATGTAGTATTCCAGGTGTGGTCTTCCCAAGGTACTAAAGTGGTAGTAATACGGCGCATGATTTTGATTCTATCCGTCCGTATTACGCCAGAGGTCTCCAAACTTGGCAACTTTTAAGACTTGTGGACTTCACAAGTCTTCACTTAAAGCTATGCTGGGTGGAGAATTCTGGGAGTTGAAATCCACAAGTCTTCAAGTTGCCAAGTTTGGGGACCTCTGGTTTTATGCAATAAAGGATTGCACTGACATTTTTGGCGGTTGCAGCACATCGCTGGCTCATATTTAAGCCAGATTTAGGCTGTGATTGCTTTCCATGTCAATACTGTTTTATATATTGTCACTTTGATCTTGGATCCCAGGGATTAATCTTTTACAAACCACGTCTTTCTTCAGGTGCCTTCTGTTGAAAAAGTTTTGAAAAATTTGCACGGGCTGCCTCAGACGAATTTCTCTGAAATGATTCACAAAGTAAGTGAGGAAGGATTCTTGAGGGAAATCTCCTTTCAGCAAAACGCACATTTTTGTCTCCAATTTCACCGTTAAAAATATTAATTTTACACTTCTAGGCCAACAACAGTTTCAATGCAATTCCACAATTTACAGTAATGAAAATGGATAAAATTGTTCAAGGTGAGTGAAGTTTTTTCCAGGAAAAAAAATAACCTGAATTCACACCGTGGCATCCGGAGTGTGTCAAAAAAACGTCACGTTGCAGTCCAGGAACAGACAATTTGAATTATGATGATGATTGGACTAGACTAGAGTAGGAGCTGGAAGGGACCTTGGAGGTCATCTAGTCCAGCCCCCTGCTCAAGCAGGAGAATCTATACCATTTCAGATTAAGTGACTATCTAGTCTCTTCTTAAGAACTTCCCAGTGATGGAGTGGCCACAATTTCTGAAGGCAACTTCTGTTCCACTGGTCGGTTGTCCTCACTCTCAGGAAGTGCCTCCTTAATTCCAGGTTGGTTCTCTCCTGGATCAGTTTCCAATCATTGTTTCTTGTCCTGCCTTCTGGTGCTTTGGGGAATAGCTTGACCCCCAATTCTTCTTTGTGGCAGCTCCTCAAATACTGGAATACTCCTATCATGTCACCCTTGGTCCTTGTTCTCTTTAGATTAGCCAGACCCAAATTCTGCAGCCATTCTTAATCTCCAGGACTTTGATCCTCTTAGTTGCTCTCCTTTTTCCCCCCAAAGTCTCAACCTCTTTTTTGTAGAGTAGTGTAGCTTCTGGAGGAAGGACTGGAGAAGGTCTCTAGCACCTAGGTCCTAGGTAAATCAGATAGGAAGACTCCGCAATGTACCATCGTAACCGTAAGTGCCCGGTGGAGGCTCTGGCAATCACGGTTTCTCTGTGCAAACCATGTAAAATCTGCATCGGGCATGTTTTGGCACGAGGACCACGGTGACCCCTTGCATGGTGGAGGCCGTGGATGGCAACCCTTCGCTTTCCTTGCAGAGCTGAAGAAGGACGTCGAGAGAGTTGCCCAAAAGGTCCAGTTGGTTGCAGATGACTTCCCCATCTCTGACCAGACCCGTCCCATGAACGACGCCTTGGCGAAGGCAGAGAATATGAGCCGCCCATTCCTGAAGCAGTTGAAGCCTTTTGAGACTTACAGGTAAAAAAGGAGAGCTGGGCAGAGCAGAGACCTGGCAAACATTTATCTGACCAGAAACCCAACACTCCTAACATTGAAAGGGATGGAGAATGCTGGTGAATGGAGCGGTAATGTAATATGGGCAGAGCTACAGCGCACACTTGACCAGCCCGGGCAGAAAATTTCCTTTCCCCCTGGTGTTGCAGGAAAGGAAGAGATTTAGGAGGGCTCGTTTTTATTTTTTTTCCGTAAATTTTACTGGTTTTTAAAAACAAACATAAACAATCAAAACATCAAACTTTCTTCCATAGGTATACAAACAGTGTGCCGGTTGGTTTACAGATTATTTTGTGCATCCATTTCGTAGTCTTCAATTACAGTCACATTACATAAAAGCTCATATTATCCATCAAAAGTTAGATACCCTAATATCATTATTAATCAATCATTTGACTATAGTTTGATTCATTCATATTTTACGAGATAACCATAATTTACTTAGTTTGTTTTATGACAATTCATATTATCCTCCCAAATCTATCCTAAAAACAGGAGGGCTCATTTTTTAAAGGCGTAGTATTCTATGCTTTCTGGTGTTCCTTCTTTTGACTTATTTATTTGTATCCTGCCTTTATTAGTATTTCTATAAAGGTGTTATTTATAGAAATACTAATAAAGGTGAGATACAAATAAATAAATGATCGGACTAGAACTTTGGGCACTGCAAAAAAGGGGTTGGAGTATCAGGCTGTCCAAGGAGGAGACCCAAGACTGAGAAAATCATCCTGAGATCTTGTGGGAGGACGCACTGTTGATGTAGGGTTGTGCATGAAAACCTTCCATTGACCACAACAATTCCAAAGACTTTTATCTACGCACAAATATTTCAACTGATTTATGAGAACAGAGCAGAACTCTTTATTGGCCAAGTGTGACTGGACACACAAGGAATTTATTTTCAGTGTATAGACTCTCAGTGCACATAAAAGCTATAAGTGATCAATCATGATTCTAGTCATCAAGGAGGTTTTGACTACAATAGCATCCCCATTGGCAGATTTTTCTGTCCCTCAAGTCTTCCAACATTGTACCAGTTGCCAATATAACTAAGTACAAGTGTTAGAGGGTGTAAATATTTTGCCTTGGGTAGCCAGAAGCAGAAGGCGATGGCTTCAACCGTGGGTCCACAGAGGCCATCTAGACTTTTCTTAAGGACACAAACCCCATGGATGCCAAGCCTGTAAAACACCCCTTGCATTCACCCACCCAGTTTAAACATTTCTAATTGAACTGAAACCAGCACACCATGTTTCTGGCGGATGCGTTAAAGAACGGACTTGGAGCCTGAAGTTGCCTCCTTCCTGTTTTTTTGTCTTTGCCAGGTGGATTGTAGGTACAATCGCATGCACAATTATCCTGCTGATTGTCTTCTGTAATGTGCTGGGCCTTTCCTTTGGCACTTATGGCTTGGTTGTGCGAGAGGATCCCAGTGACTACGAGAGCCGGGCTGAAGCTGGAGCCAAATTTCTCATCATGTAAGAACTCTTGGGTGTCCTTTCTATCCGCAAAGGAGAATGTTTGTAGCTCAGGGTAGAAGTGAGGGCTCCTTGGTGATCTCTGAGCTGGGTGGTTTTCTTGCAGATGTTTCACTAACCACCAGCAACACCTGTCCACCAGCGGTGGGATTCAAGTTTTTTTTTTTCTACCGGTTCTGTGGGCATGGTTCTGTGGGTGTGGCAGGGGAAGGAGACTGCAAAATCTCCAGTCAGAGGTGATATTTGCTGGTTCTCCGAACTACTCAAAATTTCCGCTACCGGTTCTCCAGAACTGGTCAGAACCTGCTGAATACCCACTTCTGCTCCCCACCAGCACCCAGATGAGCATAGATTAGCTCCAAGATTAACATCAGACCAACAATCAAGAAGTAAACAATCCCCCCATGAAGGAACTGCCAAACAAGCTAACAGTAAACAGCCCAACCAAAGAACCCCCAAGTCCATCCCCACCAACGCTGACAGGGCAAGAATATAAAATGTGAGCAAACCCCATCCCTTCCTGCACTGATGATGTTACCTAGTTGGGTAATGAAATGTCTTCAAG